AAAAGTGGCTAAAAGCAACTACTTGGCTGTTCATCTAAAGAGAATTAAAACAATGTATTACATATCTATTTCCAGGTTCTATTTTACATAACGTCCCTGGATATCAAACTTTCACTGACTGGAGGTAGAAGAAGAAGAAATGCAAGGAAAAGAGAAAGAGGCCAAGAACTGAAAGAAGCTTTGCGTAGAGATGATAGTGTTCTGCTTTTGTGAGACGACATTCTGGGAGGGGGAAGGGGGAGTGGAAGGGTGATTTGGCGAGGGGAGAGGGAGCATTTAAATATTAAAGACACCCATCGACATTATTTATATAAAATAGGAAGCGCTCTACTTCAACCATGCCTACACTGGTTGAAAATGTTCTTCAAATGTCTACACGATTTTGAGAGCTTTAGGAGCAGGCTCGCTGTTATAGTCCTGTCTGTCAGAGTCCACTCAAGAAATGAGGGGTCTCTGTTTGATGTAAGTCGACACAGTTTACACTCTTCAGGAGGCGTGCATCGACTCTGCTTGTCAGAGCCAAATCTGCCCTGGAGGTTATGGCCCAGCAGAAAAACCCAGATACTCTTTTAATATCGTTAGAGAAAACACGTAGATATGCGATAAAATATTTTGCCCCTGAGGATATTAACTAAACTTGTTTGCAATGCAAAATGCTTCGTCATTCCACCACGCAGACCTACGTGCTTCTCTCGAAGTTAAAAATAATGAGCGTCGTCGTGACAGTGTGTCTCTCAGAATTTAACAAAATAACGGTGAGTGATACTACGGTGAGTTTTGCAATAGTTTGCAACACAGTCACAAATGTATAGGAAATATCCCATGGTTAGTAGGATTCCTTGGTTGTGGGGGTAGCTTTGTTCTAAGATTGTGTCATTTGGATTGGGTTGTTTTTTTACGCTCATTTCGATACAATCTATTTTTTTTTAAACTTGGATAGCGGGCAGCTTCGACCCTGCCTGTCTAGGCTAACCCAGGCTGAGAGGAAATACAACGTCCAAGCAGACAGACGGAGATGCACGATACCTGAACTTCGAACCTCACGTCTTCTGCCTACGACACCATAAGGCTAGTACCGCACTACTACAGTTTGTCCTGGGACAGATCCGTCTGGATTTTGAAACCTTTGAATTTGAGTGTAATGTACCTCACCTATTACAACAGGACATTCTTGTCGATTTGAGTCCCGAGCAGTTGTGAATTGCTACAAAAGCGCTGTGACAGGACTATCCTAATCCCGGGGTAATATCGTCTGTGATTATAGAGAAATATAGCCGCCTACCGCATTAGGACAGACTTGGAGGCCGCCTGATGTCAAGATCGTTGGGCTTGCACGTTGTGACGTAGAATCACTTCAAAATTTGCCGCCGCGCTGGATTAAACTTAAGGCAAAACTTTTTTAAAGAATTATCGTATCTCAAAACCGATTTCATATTCTGAATCAGCGTCTCAAAATAAGAAAAATGGCTTGCGGAGAACCTGATTTGAAGCAAAACTATGTACATTTTAGCAAATTATTTTATTTTTAAATTTTTATCATCAATGGTTAAGTAATGTATCAAAGTCACCCTGGAAAACACACACGCACGCACACATACACACACACACACACACACACACACACACACACACACACACACATACATACACACGTAATGGGGCATTAAATTGCGTTCTCCTTGTGATTTTTTGTAAATTTTGGGTCACTAATCACGAAAATCGTATTAATTATATTTTTTGGGGGATAATATTTAGGACATTTTTGGAATGCATTTTTAACCTCGCCGCGGGCAACAACAAAAAAGCCGCCTTATGGGCCGGATCAGTCCTGTCCTAGTGCGGTATCTGTTTTGACAAGCAAAAAATCGACGGTGGAACAGGACAGTCCTGTCCGAGACAAGAATGTAGTAGTGCGGTACTAGCCTAAGCTTTTTCCTTTTCGCCAAAGGCAAGTACAGCACTACGACAGTTTGTCCTGGGACAGACCCGTCGGGAGTTTGAAACCTTTGAATTAGAATGTAATGTACCTCACCTATTACGACAGGACATTTTTGTCGATTTGAGCCCCGAGCAGTTGTGAATTGCTACAAAATCGGTGGGACAGGACTATCCCAGTCCCGGTGTAACATCGGCTGTAATTATAGAGAAATATAACCGTCTACCGCATTAGGACAAAACTGTCCCAAACTTCGTGGCGCCTGCTGCCAAGATCGTGGGGCTTGAACGTTTTGACGTATAATCACTTTAAAATTTGCCGCCAGGAAGGATTAAACTTGGGCCACAAAATATCAAAAATAATTATTACATCTCAAAACTGATTTCTTATTCGGAACCAGCGTCTCAAAATAAGCAAAGACCCAGAAAGATTAAACAGAGCGAGCTTATATAGCACTTTTTTTAAATGTTCGCAGTTATGAAAAGGGGTCATTATAACAACCCAATGAAGGACCATGACAAATACGCATCAAATGAGTCAAAGAAGGGACATGATGATCCAAAA